TTTTGGAGTATTGTTTCTTTTTTAAAGAGAACTGATCTCTTTCTTTTCTTTTCTTTTTTTGCTTTGTTTCTGTGCTACGACTTGTTACCTTTCACTCAACACGATGACTAAAACTATGACGAGACAATCAATGTGATCTCTGTAAGGGCTTCTCCATTTCTTCTCTGCAGCACCATGCTTTATATATATGTATTTTTTGCTCTTAGCAAGGATTTTTTTCTTTCTCCCCTCCCCTTGTGTCTTACTGAAAATAATAATAATAACGGAGTGAAATGAGGTTTCAGCAGCGCATCCGTGGTTTGGGAACACTTGGGAAGAAAAAGGGGGAGGGTGGGGAAGGGGGAAGCTGCCAGTTTTCTTGCAGGTACCAGTCTTGTTCTCCTTTAACGCTGTATTGTATACATTTGACAGCACAGCTTGACAATTTAAGTAATAATCAAAGTGTTTGGTAATAATGCATTATTTTGCTAAACGAGATTTGTGATGGTTTCCCTAGTGCATTGTAAAGAGGGATGGAGGGAAACTTCCGCTGCCCTTCCCGCCTGCCCTGCCCGCCCTCGGTCCTTCGTGTCGCGGCACCGCCTCGCGCCGGCGCGCGGACCCGGCGGGCTTGGTGTGCGGTGGGGCCGGCCTGGACCATTCCCGCTTAGCGTTCTGTTCGGCTCCCGGCGTCGATTTGGTGTCGCTCTCGCCAAGCAGCTTCCCCCCTTCAATGCTACTTAACCTGGGTTTCAAACAAACGGGCATCGGATCATGCCTCCCCAGGCCCCCTTCCCCTCCTTTTCCCTTCTCCTCCTCCAAAAAAAAAAGGAAGTTTCTCTCCGCCCCCTTGGTCCAAAGCACTTGCTTCAAGTAATAAGCACTTTTGTTAAAGCATGAGTCTGGATTCCCTTTAGCATCCCATGGGATAGAGAGCAGCAAGAGCGGAAGGGATAAGAGAGTGTCTTTGGTTTATTTTTTAATTTTTAATTTTAAAAAAGTTTGTTTCTAGGGAATGAATGAACAAAGGGAAGTTGTGTTTTGAGAGAGAGAAAAAAAAAACAGCACAAATACATTTCAACTCAAAAGGTGTATTTGCACTGCCATTGTTAGACTAACGGGCTGCGAGACGTGCAGTTCGACTGAGCCATATAAACTGCTGACAAACACTGAATGTAACGTCCTTGAAGAGGGCAGTCCAGGGAAGCTGCGATTGGCTTTATTCTTGACGGGCACTTCAATGAATTCAAAAATAACCTAACGATGATGAGAACACGGTTGTTGCTTTTTTGTTGTTGCTGTTCCCGAGCTGCAGGCAATTTGAAATTTTGTTCTTTAGGAAAACATATCTCTCCCCTGCCCTTTCGCACCCCCGTCTCTCCCCCAGGTCCCTGTCCCAGGAGAAGTGAGAGGTCCCTTGACCAAAAGCGAGATGCAGAGGAGTAGTCGCTGGCCCTGTTGACCACGTCCCAGGGCTGGAATCTAGCAGATATGAAAGTAGCACTAAAAACAAAGAAAAATCTCCAAAAATGGAACAAATATGTTTTTTCCCGAACACTCTGAGTGTCGTAGTGGCGTCTGTACATACTGCGGGCCCTTGGGGGTTCCTCTGAGCATGCAAGATAAAGTGTTAGTAAGAAACAAAAGAAAAAACCAAAACAAAGAACAAACTACAAAGACATAAGAAACAATCTTTTTTTTTTCTTCTTCTTCTTCTGTTGAAGGTTTGTTCCTCTTTCCAGATGGGTCCAACTCAGGCTTACAACAACCAGTTTATGAACCAGCCTGGTCCTCGTGGCCCTGCTTCTATGCCAGGCAACATGAACCCAGCAAGCATGGGAGCAGGGATGACGCCTTCCAGTATGAGTGGGCCGCCTATGGGCATGAACCAGCCTAGGCCTCCTGGAATGAGTCCCTTCAGCACCC